GTGGCCCGTAGATATCCCTAACACCTCTCTCGCCGCCTTTCTTATACAGTCCGCCGTCGTCGACCACATTGTGTTTGCGTCCCCACTACTTCTCCAAGCTCCCATTGCCGATAACCTTCCTTCCAACTCTTTAGCTTTATCCTTAGTTAAGGCGCCCCACCTAATCCTGGGGCGTCCTCGTACTGACCTCTTCTTCCTCCTTATCCTAATACAAATGTCCATCACTAAAAGCCTATGCTGCGTTGAGAGGGTCTCACTTGAGATAACCTTGCAGTTCTCGCACAACCTTCTGTCGCATCTCCTGAAGAGGAGATAGTCAATCTGAGTCTTCGCCACCGAACTTTGGTAAGTAACCAAATGTTCATCCCGCTTCGTAAAACTCGAGTTTGCAATGACTAGATCGAAAGCCTTGGCAAAGTCCAACAGCGCAATGCCCCCTCCGTTCCGCTCTCCGAAACCAAATCCGCCATGCACCTCAGTGTACCCACCTGCAGATAACCCAATATGACCATTGAAATCTCCTCCTATGAATAACCTCTCAGAAGGCGGTATACTACGAACAATCTCATCCAACCCCTCCCAAAATTGCCTTTTAATATCCTCATCCAAGCCTGCTTGTGGTGCGTACGCGCTAACGACATTTAAAGTACCCTCACCCACCACCAACTTTATAGTCATTAGCCTATCATTCACCCGTCTGACCTCTACCACGGACTCCCTAAGATGGCTATCTACCAGGATACCCACTCCATTCTTACCCCTCAGGACACCAGAGTACCACAACTTATACCCATCCACATTTTTCGCCCTCGATCCGACCCACCTAGTCTCCTGGACACACGCTATATTAATCTTCCTCTTCTGCAGGATTTTCGCCAACTCTATGGATTTACTCGTTAGTGAACCTATGTTCCATGACCCGATTCTCAACTTATAGGCTCCCTTGCCCCCTCTACCTCCCCTGCTACCCGACCCACCCCCTGAACCCCACTGAGAGGTTATTAATTGCTTATTTCCCAAATTATTTTCTAACGCTTTTTGAAATATTATCTTTTATTTATTGTTTCTTAGAGGAAGTGAAAGTCAAAAGAGGACAACTAAAAGTGAAGGGAGGGAGTAAATAGTTAATGATGAATAAAGCTAGTGAAATATGTTTTATTATGTCTCTTTTAATGACGCTTCCTTCTACTTTTATAGTAATTTTATCGGATAATTTGTGTGTGAATAGAACCAACACGATGCATTCGATTATTCATAACAATAATAATAATAATAATAATAATAATAAATAATAATAATAATAATAATAATAATTATCTCAATTATATAATCTGAAAATTGTACTCAGGTGAATCATTTATGCATGCTATATCGCAACTCAACTCGCAAGCTTCAATTGCGATAGAATAAATACACATGTAATCATCTAATAGATGCAAGAAGAAGAAGAGTATTGCAGAGAAAAATAGAGAGAGAGGTAATTGAAAAATTTCTCTCTCTAGAATGAAATTCCCTCTCAACGAAAGTTGAAAATGACGAGGAAATCGAAAGCTAGAGGAGGAAGACAATAGAGTCAGGAGAGTGTTCAACAATCATTCAATGCTAGAATTGGAATCCCGAACTCAGCTGATGCGAAGAAAACTCGGAGCATCAACGTGCTACAAGGAATCACTCCGTTAGAGTTAAATAAGGCATCAATGGAACAGGAAACACCAGTGAAGCTCATGCGTGGAGGTGCGATGGAGCACAATTCATCAGGAAAACAGTCATGGGCAGATATCGTGGAGAATGAAGTAGAACATGAAGGTACGTTGGGGGTTGAGCCTCAAAGTGCACCTAAAATGAGGTTATGGAGCAGAATTGTGGCTAATAGTCCTGATGTAGATGAATTAGAATTGAAAACTAATGAATCTACAAAACAAAATGTTAAAATAACTATGGAGGATATCAAAGAGGAAGTAGAGTATTGGAGTAATGCAGTAATTTGTTATGTACTTGGATCTAATCCACCTCCAGTAGTTATGAATGGCTATTTTCATAGAATCCGAGGGAAATTGGGAATAGACAAGGTAGCTCAGGTTAACAGAGGTGTATTTTTGGTTAGATTTACACAAACTGAAAGTAGAATGAAGGTGTTGGAAGATGGAGTCCAGATGTTTGATAAAAAGCCTGTCATCATAAAGCCTTGGTCACCAGATATAGACACTAGAAGGGAGTCGTTCAGTACTGTGCCAATATGGATTAGGCTCCCAGGACTGGACATCAAGTACTAGGGGAAGAATGCATTGACAAAAATTGCGGGATTAGTGGATAAACCTCTAAAAGCAGATAGAGCCACAACATGGAAGGAGAGGATGACATTTGCCAGAGTGTTGGTGGAAGTTACACTAGATCAGCCTTATCCACAGAGCATAATGTTTGAGAATGAAATAGGAAAAATAGTTGAACAAAGGGTGCATTATGAGTGGAAGCCAACACTATGCAAGGAATGTAACAACTATGGGCATGAGATGGTGGAGTGTAAGAAGCATGTTCAGGCAGAAAAACAGATGGCAAGTATAAAAGAAGCGGATAAACATAATAAGGCAAAAAAGGAAAGAGAGCAGAACAAAGAAGGAAAGCAGGAAGGAAGCCAAATGCAGAATGGAAGGGAACAAAATGCTAGTGAAAACCATCACAACAATGTAATGGATGGGGGTAAAGCAACATACATACAGAAGGGAAGTAGAGCACAAAGAGGAAAGGATATAACCAAGAATAAGATCAACTTAGAGAATTCTTTTAGTGCATTGAGAGAGACTAGTAACCTGGGAGTAGTGGAGCAGGGGAAGAAGGGAACTGGGAAGAAGATGGAAAATGGAGAAGGAGAACAAATATTGGGGAAGAGAGGAAGCCCTCCCCCAGGAAATGGATAGTATAGGTTTCTGGAACACCAGGGGGCTAAATAGACTAGCAAAGCAGAAGGAAGTTAAACTGTTTCTGCATCAATGTAAAGTTAGTCTATTTGGGCTCCTGGAAACAAAGATTAAAATGAATAATGCTCAAAAGGTTGCTCTTAATCTTTGTAATGGATGGTTTTTAACAAACAACTTAGGGGCTCATCCGGGGGGAAGAATTTGGATAGTATGGAAACCTGCAATCATGCAGGTGCAAATTGAGTTTGTATCTGCACAAGTAATTCACTGTGCAGTAATGTATAGTGGTAATCGTCAAAATTTTATGTCACTTTTGTATATGGATTCAATGATCCAACTATTAAAAGGCCTTTATGGCAAGAGGTGAGGGATATAAAAAGTAGTATAAATGGACCATGGGCTTTGATGGGGGACTTTAATTGTGTTCTGAATAAGGAGGATAGAATAGGGAGACAAGTTACTATGGCTGAGATAAGGGAATTTAGAGAATGTATAGCAGAATGTGGTCTTTAGGAGTTGAGGTCCTCTGGGGCTTTCTTTACATGGAATAACAAACAAGAAGGGGGGAAAGGGTATATAGCAGAATAGATAGGGTAGTGGTGAATTCAAACTGGATCACTGCATTGTCAGTCTCAGAAGTGCACTACATGAATGAGGGACTATATGATCATTGTCCTGCTATGTAAACTGGGATAATGGCAAAGGAAATCAGAGAAGGCAATTTAAATACTTCAACATGTGGAAAATGGCTGATGATTTCAAAGAAAGAGTTAAGCATAGCTGGGAAGCAGAAATAGCAGGCAACAAATTGTTTAAGATGATAGGAAAAATGAACAGATTGAAGGCAATCTTGATAAAACTGAACAAGGAAAGGTTCTCAGATATTGAAAGGAAGACTGAGCATGCTATGGAAGAACTGAAGAGATGTCAAACAGAACTGCAAGGTGATGAAAGAAATAAAGAATTAATTGAAAAAAAGATCTACTTAGCACAAGAATACAGAACTTGGGGAGAAGCTAGATAACTGTTTTTGAGGCAGAAAAGTAGAATGTTATGGCTCACTCAAGGGGATCATAACACAAAATACTTCCACAGTGCAATAAAGGAAAAAAGGAGCAAGAATAGAATCTTCTCAATTATTGATTCTCTCAAGGGGTAACTAGAAGAGATCCAGACAAGATTGCTCAGGCCTTTATAGAATTCTACAAGAAGTTACTTGGAGAAAAAGATGAGAACAAGAAACGTGTGTGTAGTGAATTAGTAAGGAAGGGATCAACACTATCACATGCTCAAAGGGAATGGCTGATACAGAGCTATAAGGAGTAAGATGTCAAGGCAGCAATATGGTCAATAACAGGGGACAAAGCCCCAGGGCCAGATAGTTACACTAGCCAATTCTTTAAGGATTGCTGGGATACTATTAGCAAGGATGTTGTTACTGGTGTGCTGGAGTTCTTTCAAAAAGGTACAATGCCTAAAAGCCTAAACTCAACCATGATTACATTAGTCCCAAAGAATAGTCATGCAGAAGAGGTGGGAGAGTATAGGCCAATAGCCTGTTGTAACACCTTGTTCAAAATAATATCAAAGATGTTATGCATGATATTGAAGACTGTGTTACCAGAAATCATCTCAGCAAATCAGAATGCATTTGTGGCAGGGAGAAGTATAGTTCAGAATGTCCTAATCTGTCAAGATCTGGTTAGGCTATACAACAGGAAAGCATCTACTAGAAGCTGCCTGATAAAGATAGATTTAAGGAAGGCTTATGATACTGTGGAATGAGATTTTGTACAGGAGATGTTGCATGCTTTAAACTTCCCTAGCAGGTTCATACAATGGATAATGCAATGTATCACAACTACAAAGTACTCTATAGCAATCAATGGAGGGATATATGGTAACATTGCAGGGAAAAGAGGGCTGAGGCAAGGTGACCCCATCTCACCTCTAATATTTGTCATATGCATGGAGTACTTCACAAGGATCATGCAACATGTAGCTACAATGCAGGGATTTGAGTACCATACAAAATGCAGAGGGCTGAAGCTGAATCATCTATGTTTTGTTGATGATGTACTACTATTCTGCAAAGGAGAGGTACAATCAGTGTTGTTGATGTTAAGGGGACTGGCTGCTTTCTCAGAAGCTTCAGGGTTGCATACTAATGCCACTAAGTCTAATATATATAGTGCAAACATGAAGCAACAGGAAGTGAATGATATATGTGAGCTGACTGGGTACAAAAGAGGTGTCTTGCCTTTCAGATATTTAGGGGTGCCAATTTCAGCAAAAAAGATATCGGCTGTGGATTGTGAAATGCTGGTGGAGAAAATGTGTGCTAGAATAAAAAGTTGGGGATCTAGGAACCTATCCTATGCAGGAAGAGTTCTGTTAATCAATTCAGTACTAATGCATATCCATGCCTATTGGTCTTCTATCTTCATTCTCCCTAAGAAAATACTAAAGAGCATTACAGCTATTTGTAGGAACTTCCTATGGAATGGCAAAGTGAACACCAACAGGGTGCCTTTAATAGCTTGAGATCTTATCTGCAGGCCTAAGATAGAAGGGGGACTAGGGATTATTGAATGTGAGGCTTGGAACCAAGCAGCCATTGCTAAATATGTTTGGAATATAGCAAAAAAGCAGACAATCTGTGGGTATAATGGGTGAATTATATATATTTGAAAGGGAAAGACTGGTGGGAGTACCAACCCCCAAAAGACTGCTAATGGTACTGGAGGAAGATCTGCTCAATTA